TTTTTTTTTTTTTTTTTTTTCCCACCAGTACCTCCGAACCTATTTTCGACGTGGTACTGGCCAGTACCCGAACTTTTAGGAGGCCGGGACCGACAACGGCTGCCGTTGATAAATCTGATCGGCGGTCGTGAAAATGTTTCGGCCTCCTGAAAGGTCGGAGGCCGAGTATTTTCGAACCGTCAAAGGTACTGGTGCGTCTCTCATATGTGGGGCCGCGTGCCTCAAATTCAATCGGCCGCCACACGCCATCGATGAAAAATATCGACGGAGGTGTGGCGGCGAATCTTTAAAGAGTAGGCTACTAGATGTGCGTGGCCGACATATGGGGGAAGGGAAGTGGTGGCTTAACCATTGTAGGTGGTTTCATTTGCGTACTGTAATTGTGGTTTTGATGAGTCCCGCCAAAGAAGTGGATTTTTCAAATTTTGGGAAGTTTTTTTTTTTCCCCCCCCTTGCATTTGAATGGGAAAGCCCGCTCGTTGAATGACATGCAGTGTTTGCTGTCGGATCGATCCAGACTGCGATTTGGATCTCCCTTTTTTTTTTTTTTTTTGGTAATGTGGACCAAATTTGGTGCCTGAGAACACAGAGAGAAGCCTTAAATCTTATTGCATTTGAATTTTGAGCTACTGGCAACTTGAACAGCCCAAAGTCCTTTTTTAAGGTTTTTTTTTTTTTTTTTTTTTTTCAAAGGAAGAGCCCATGTTACTGAATGATACATGCATGGAACTTTTCATGAAAAAGGTTATGGGAGTAAATTCGATGGTTACAATAGTGTTAGGGTCTACCTCTGCCTATTCCTTAAATCAAGACAAAAACAGAAACGAAACGAAACGAAAAAAAAAAAAGAAAGGCATGGAAAGGCCTGAGGTGGTTAATAGTAGTCCAGTAGAGAGTGATGTTCCTCGCATGAGGTAAGATAGAAATGGATTGGGGGTGCGCCAGGAGAGATATATCGAGAGGGGTGGTAGGATGGGAGTCTCGTGAGTATGTAAAAAAAAAAAAAAAAAAAAAAAGAAGAAGAAAAACTCGAGGGCAAAAGACTCGAGGATCCAAACCCATAACCTTTCGCCTCCTGCCTTTACCCTGCCGAACCTCAACAGAGTACATGACCTTAACTCGAGGGTTT